GTCTGTAATTGCTTAAAAATACTTTTTTGTTTTATTTTGTCTTTTTTTATTCTTTTCATTATGATTTGAGTAAATGTTTACAGAGCAAATTGATTTTCCATTCAACAGTTCACACACATCCTGTTTCATGACACTGATTGCAATGCCCACAATATAACATTTTTCTCATGCCTTCCCTGGAGTCCTAGTATGGTGCTGTAGGGTCAACACTGGACTGATCCCACCAGCCAATCCTTGGAAACCCTATACAGGGTCACTATGAGTCAGAATTGATTCAACGGCACTTAACAACAACAACAACCCTGGGTCATCATTTCCATTCATCATTCTTTCCTTTCTCTTCCTGCATTCTGAGCTTTGTTGTTGTTAGGTGCTGTCAAATCAATTCCAACTCATAGCAACCCTGTATAGGGTTTCCGCAGAACAACTAGTAGGTTTGAACTGTCAACTTTATATTTAGCAGTCCAGTGATTATCCTATAGCATCACACCAGGACTCCCCTGGGCAAATGCTGGCTTTTTGATGGCATGTGGTTGCTTGTTCTAAGCAGTGTATATAGCCCTCCCCATCACCTGAGTTAGCATATATCTACTCTCTAGCTAGTGAATTATTCTCCCTTCTGTCATACCCCTGGTAACCAACAATGAAAGTGTCTTTTAACATGAAAACTTTTTCCTGAGGTTTTACAATAGTGATGTCAGACAATATTTGTCCTTTTGTGATTGACTAACTTCACTTAGCATCATGCACCTAGTGGTCCATCCATGTTATGAGGGGTTTTGCAGATTCACCATTATTCTTTAATGTTACATAATACTGCATTGTATGTATGTACCATAGTTTGTTTATCCATTCATTCATTACTGAACACTTAGGTTGTTTCCATCTTTTTGCAACTGAGTGTGACTAAAAATACAATGAATACTAGTGTGTCTTCACATGTTTTCCTGGGATAAGAGAGAAAAAATACGCTATCTGGGCCTTTCTCAACATCCTCTCTTGGGAAGGGAGTTGTGTGGGAAGTTCAAAGAATCTTAGATATTTAAATCAGCAAACAATGTGTGCATACATACACACAAACACACACAACCCACCCATGTAACCTTTCCTTCATCAATAAATTTGCAAAACTGCTTCATTTGTATTCTGTATTATATTATATTTTTATATTCAAAATGCCAGTCCCTCCCAGTTCTTTATCAAACCTTCCAGCCACTCTTCAGAAACCCTATACAGTTCACAATGAGTAGTAACAGACTCAACTGCACTTAACAACAGCAACAAATGTATGTGGATCCTAGTGCTTTATTAGAAACAGAAATTTAAGTCTGCAATGCTGCATCTGTATGCTGATCAGATTTCTCTTTTTTGTTTGTCTGTTTTACAGTTTTCTCCTTGTCTTTGGTTGCTTGATTTTGTCAGTGTTTTCTACCATCCCTGAGCACACAAAATTGGCTTCAAGTTGCCTCTTGATTCTGGTAAGTGAAACATATGAATAAAAATCTACATCAGTTTGTATAGTATAAGAACTGTGTACTATATTGTACTAAATGTTTGTGTTAGACATTTTATCCAATAAAAAGGTCTATCTAGAAGAAAGAGAGTTACTGTGGAATATAAAAGTTTCAAAAATGACTGAAATGTTTGTCTATTTTACCGTTAGTCAATCCTCAGGCATATATACAAATACTTAGGATTGCTTTCGTATAACAATATCTTATGTTATATGTACATCAGAAATAGAAGACAGTACTTGGAAGCAGTTTCAATGATGTTTATCTCTGCTAATAAACAAATTATAAGGAGAATCAGTAACAGTGAGGTATCTCATTATATTGCTAAAGGTTACAGGGTAGAGAATATTTTCTAATAACTGCAGTTCGGCAGTAGCTAAGTATAATTGGCCAAGACCTGTAAGAAGGCGACCCTCACAGGCAAACAGAAAACTCCTTCCTGCTCTTTTCAACCCAGACTGTATTATGAGCTTCACTGCTAATGCAGTTAGTTACCTGGTGAGAAATTCTGCCGTTTGCTCTGTTTCCATTATATTGTCAATCCTCAACTACACAGAATTCACTTTAAAAGGCAAAAAGACCCCAAGATATTTTAGACTGAATTATTCTGGGTCTTTTAAGCTCTTTTACTTTTCTTTTGCAACTGAACTATAGCACATCTGATTGAAAGTTGGTTCATTTACATCCATTTTGATTCATTCACTTAGTCTGAAAATATCAGACTTGACAGTCTTGGGACCATCTGAATGTGAACAACTCAATCTTCCTGTAAAGGTTGATGATTTACAGATTGAAGAGAGAGAGAGAAGACATGTATGACTTATGGGTCTAATAAATAGAAATTGGTTACCTACGAAACAGTTCAAACTTACCAGCCTCTCCTTGGAAACCTTTGGATTGAAACCAACTTGATGGTACAACAACAACACAGCAGTAAACACTTAATTTAAAAAATGTATTCTTTAATTTTAGGTGTAAACTGAAGAATGTTGACTCATATAAATAACTTGAGAGAAGGGCAGATACTTTTCTCACCTGAGCTTTCAGATGGCTGGTTTGTACTTAAAAGTTATATATGAGGTTGCAAAGACATCAAGTCTTAAATGGGAGAAATATTCAATAGTGTTTTATTAAGGTTACTGTTTCAAACTCCAAGACAGACACCAGGTAGAGTGAAGAACATAGGGGATTTGTTATATTGATATGATTTCTATTTGGGTAACAAGTAGGCTCATTCCTCTCTTACATAACAACTTCAGGTCTGATTCTCAGTGTCTAAGCCACGGCTGGTTTTTAGATTCACATCCAAATTTACAACCAGAATTTTTACATTGGAAATATAAATCTGATTTTTAGACTTGGGAACATGAAACACTGGGTCTACTGTATAACCAATGGTACAAATTATGAATATATCAATCATTAGGATTCCAGAAAAAAGGTTTCTTTTATAACAAAGTTAAAAAACATGCAAAATGTCAGATTTACGTCCTTCAAATCTGTGTAATATCAATTCAGTCATTGCTAATAAATTTCTAAGTAGTTTAAAGAAGTCCATATAATTACAAATCCCAAAACTGATTAGTATATTTTTTTAAAAGATCTTGGTTAGTGAGCAGTTAATCAGAGTTGAATATCTGTAGTATGTTTACTAGATAAAGATGTAGATGTTGTCCCATGCAGATGGATTTGGCAACATAGAACTGAGTTCCTCTATGCACATGAGACCTTTGTTTTAAGCAATGCAGTTAGTGTTGCAGATTGCAATTCTCACAAAGGTATTGTTACATGGGTTCCTAGTTTTATGCTAAATTGTGTTTTTAATACTTGTCTCTTGTTGTTAAGTACCATAAAGTCGATTCTGACTCATGGTAACCCTGCATAGGGTTTCCAAGGAGTGGCTAGGAAGTTTGAACCGCCTACCTGTAGTTCAAACTGACCTTGCAGTCCAACGCTTTCTCCCACAGTGCCACACCAGGACTCTAATACTTGCTTTGTTGTTGTTGTTATTGTTATTTTTGTGTGCTGTAGGGTCAGTTCTGACTCATAGTGACCCTGCACAGGAGTTCCAAGGCTGTAAATCTTTAGGGAAAGAGAAAACCTCATCCTTCTCCCGCAAAACAGCTGGTAGTTTCTAACTGCTGACCTTGAGATTAGCAGTCCAATTCATAACCTTGCTTAGAAATATGAATACTATATTGCATATCTGAGATTTCTTCAAAAACTGTGTTTTATTTCAACCAAAAAAAATTTTTTTTAATATAGTCATGATTTTCTTTATTTTCCTTCAGTTGGAATAAATTGGAATAGTAATAGATGTAAATAAATTAGAATTCCAATAATAAATTGGAAAGGCATACATATTTTAATTATTTTTCACAATGAGTTAGCATGACAACACAAAGTCCATAGCTGTCAAGTGAATCCTGACTCATCACAGCCCTGTAGGACAGAGCAGAACTAGCTGCCTCAGAGGTTTCCAAGACTGTGAATTTGTATGGAAGTAGATTGCCTTATCTTTTTTCTGCAGAGAAGCTAGTGGGTTCAAGCCACCAACCTTTTGGTTAGCAGGCAAGCACTTTAGCCACTGTGCCCCAAATCTCCTTGAGTTAACATAGCAAACAAACAACCAAAAAACCGCTGCCACTGCGTCATTTCTATAGGACAGAGTAGAACTGCTCTGCAGTTTCTGAGACTGTAAGTCTTCACAGGAGCACAGAGCCTCACATCTTTCTGCCACAGAGTGGTTGGTGTGTTTGAACCACTGACCTTGTGGTTAGCACCCTACCCCACAGTGCCACCATGTTGAATTAACATTGTTGTTGTTGTTGTTAAGTGCCGTCGAGTCGGTTCCGACCCATAGCGACCCTGTACAGGGTTTCCGAGGGTATAAATCCTTACGGGAGTGGAAAGCCTCATCTTTCTCCCGAATTAACATAGTTTATCATAAATATTCAATCAGCTGTAGAATATTGGGAAAAGCTTTGAGAAATGTTGGTATGCTTAATGATTTAGCAGATCTGGTATTTATTATCTTTTAATATGTGTATTTGAGCTAGTTCATCTGATTTCAAAGTCGGTCTGTGCTCTGAACATCAAATCAAACAGAATTCATAGACCACAATTCTGACTAGCAATGCCTTTTTGAGTAACTTTAAAAATGCTTACATAAAATTGCAACAAAGTCACTTTTATACACTTTTAGTTACAAATACATACCAGAGAAGTAAGTTTTGAAGAATTTGTATAAATCATAAAACACATTTTTTTTTTCATAATGGTACCATTTTTCTTAACACCTTAAAAATATGTTTAGAGATTTACCTGTATTCTAACTTGAATTTTGTGCAAGTAAAAGGCACCCATACTACAAAGTAAACTTGGCCCCAGACTCACTTCCCAGAGCCTTCTTTAACACTCACTCTTTTCTACCAAATAGTTTTCTCAAGGACAATCTCATAAGAGGTGTATGCCATTGCTTTGAACTTGGTCTCACTCACCTCCCAAAACCTCATGGAGTCTACAGGTCTCCCTCCCATATCCCATAATTCTCATCTAGGATTATACTCCTGTTGTTTCTCTGTCACTTGTAACTTCATTAACTTGCCAAAGTTGTTAGTCAAATGGGTTGTTGTTGTTGTTGTTAAGTGCCATCAAGTCGGATCCGACCCATAGCGACCCTGTACAGGGTTTCCGAGGCTGTAAATCTTTACGGGAGCAGAACGCCTCATCTTTCTCCCGCGGAGCGGCTGGTAGTTTCGAACTGCTGGCCTTAAGGTTCGCAGCCCGATTCGTAACCACTACGCTACCAGAGCTCCTTAGTCAAATGGGTAGATCTGTGTTAATTTGTTTGCTTATTCTTTTCAGTTTGATGAACTGTGCTTTCATGCTACACCTCAGACTCCTTTATTTCCCACCACAGAGTCAGTGCATTGTAGACTGTATAATAAGGCACCCTGGATTCAAATTCCACTTCTACTACTTGCTAGCTGTGTGATTTGGGGAAAGCACATGACTTTTCCGTATCTTAGTTTGTCATCTGTTAAAATTGTATAAAGATGGTTGTTGTGAAGATTAGACAGCTTCAGGTGTTCCGAACCAAGTCTAGCATAGAGAAAGCTCACAGAGAGCTAGCTAGTATTATAATCACTGGTTCTTCCATATGTGACAGTGAAGACACAATAGGAACACAAATACAGGCGCCTGTGAAATATTATAAAATGCTACATTCAAGAAAATATTTTACTTTTCTAGTAGAAAGCAATTATTTTTGAAATCATTTTCTCACGACAACTGAACACTGTTAATTATGGCAGCTTTTTCCACAAACATGTTCCTCTAATTAAATGTGACTCAATGTGGCATGTGTTCACAATAACTCCTCATCTCTGTTGACAAATGAAACCAAATTTTATTGTCATCTTTGACTCGATTACACTTAATAACAACAACAATAACAACAAGTTTGGTGGCAAATGTAACTGATAACAATGCTGATGGCCTGATCAGCTCTTAATGTGTGCATCTGCTTACACTGGAGCACTGAGCACAGAGAAGCCCAGATCTGATAGACTTGCTTACTCTAGCCTCACTCTGGGAATAAAACTTACAAACTCAAGAACGCCAAATTCCAAGGTCAATTCAAAGCTGATGCTACTCTTTCCTCTGTCTTGTAAATTCGACAGAACTGAAATGGAGCTGGCATATTTTCAGTACCTTTCATGTAAAAAATGTTTTTCTTACATTGCAAATATCATTTCCCACACATACACACATTTCATCAAATGGTTAAATGAGTTGAACAATTTAACATAACAAGTATAAGACAGAGTCCAGATTCCAACCTAGGCCTGTCTAAGTCAAGAGCCTGGGTTGTCGCCAATGTACCCAGCCGTCTTAGGTTTGCTTACTTCTTAGTCAAGAATGACTGGTTCACCAGAGTGCATCTGCCACTACCTGATGAT